TTATCTGCGAGGATGTCCATGCAGTCCGGAGGCAGGCGGTTATTAAAGGAGTGGAGATCTGACAGGGAGTAGAGCGGCGGCATGATCCCGTGAAGTGGCGCTAGCACGGAGCTAGCTAATGCTGGGGACCCGGGCAGCAGAGACCAGGAGCCGGATGACCGTGGAAGAAGGAGCGGTGTGAGTCCAGATAAAATGAGAGTGATAATCCACAGCATATCAGGAGAATGATTCCAGTGGTTTCCGGAGGAGAATCGTAGGAGGGGCTGACAGCCTGGTGCAGAGTGGGAGCCGGGTGACCAGCCTACTAGCTTGTTAGCTAGCTTGATAGCCACCGGCTGTAGGCGGCAGGGAGAGACGATGTCAGCGGGGAAGCCGGCTGATCGCAGCGGGATGGGAAGACCCACACGAGCCACGGAGTTAGGGTGGAGTTAGGCTGGAGTTAGGGTGGAGTTGGGGTGGAGACAGAATTGTTAGCTCGGCAGACTTCAGGGAGCCGAGGAGCATCTAGGTAGCAGCCTGCTAGGTCCGATAATGCTACTTCACACAATGAGCTACGGCGCACAAACTGAGAAGCTAATCAGCCTAGCCGCTAGTAGCTTAGCCGCAAGGAATACTCACTGCATTCCTACAAAATAAACATTTTACATACAACATATTCCCATGAAGCCACACCCTGTCCGACAATAACACTCGCAGACGTAAGAAAAAGCAAAAAGAAAATGTATTATATTTATAGAGAGGCAACATAACTCCCGAAAGAAAATATCTGGCATTGTGTCTGCACTGTTTTTAGAAGCAAACTGCTCCTTGGACTGAGGACAAAGATGGATAAATTCCTGATTGCTCCATAATGACACTGTCATCACAGCCATTATATAACGTAATACTTCCTCTGACGTGCATGTAATGTACAGCAGCATATTTGGTTTTACAGCTGAGCTTCTGACCATCTTATGTCCATGATCGGAGAGCTTTGAAACTATAGGACACTAGCAATTATACTATGCCGA